GGATGTTATATTCATATATGTCATGTTATAATATACAATTATTGCCTGCAGGGCACCTATATCTAACAATTTCATTGTGATCTCTATGTTGTTCTATATCTGGTTATCTAGTAGCCTTATTCTATGCTTTGGATTTTGAGATGCATATTTCTTGTTTATGAAAAAAGGTAAAGTAATAATGTTTAATAGTTTTTTTATGTTTATACCAATCATGCATTTATGATAAATGTGATATATACAAACCGCTTCTTTATTTTACCACTCGCTATACAGCTTTCTGACCGTCCTAGTTTTCACAACAGTAGAAAATCTGGATATTTAACCCCTACTTTCAAACACCTCGGAGTCTAGTGATTTTAATCTGCCTTTTTATCCAATTTCTATTCCAGCTTGCTAGTTACCGTACTTTATTATTATATTTACTTTTTCTTTGTTATGTAGTGACTAAGATATACCTAGTTATTTCAATTGTAACTCCATACTTGTAGCATGCAACTTGCTATCATACTTTTTGTGAGGATGGTGTTGATATTAAACTCATGATATCCTTTATGTTATTCAGTATCTATGGGACTTATTGTTTACTTTTATTGGGTATCTTTGCTTTTGTTGAGTACTTATACTGTATACTTGCTATTTACTGTATATCACTTTCTTTATATTTGTGATTGTGTTCTAGATTGATGAACCGAAATTATATGCTACCAAGTCTTTTAATGTTATATATATATATATATATATATAACTATATAGGTATCATATAATATTATATATATATAATTAATATATATATATATATATATAATAAGAGAGACGAGAGAGAGAGACGAGAGACGACGAGAGCAGAGAAACTTATGTCGAACTTAAGTGGAGCGTCCACTAAGTTTTTAGTCATTATGATCCATTGATTGCAGCTACATTGTGGAATGATCCGCTCCGTTAAACTTTGATCACCATATTCTTTCACAGAACCCAACACCACAAACCTTTGGTGAACCCTGTCGTGTTTGACCCTTCAATGCACTCATATTCCAATTTTCACGGTTTCCAGAATGAATAGACCTCTTTACATGTTCGGCGAACCGGGTCAAACCACGACGGGTTCACCCTAAGTTATGTATGTTTAAGGGTTTAGAATAATGTAGATCAAGTTAAACGGACGCATCATCCACAATGTAGCTCAAATCAAGTGATCATCCAAACTGCACTAGAAACTTAGTGGACGTCCACGGTTAAGTCGACATTAAGTTTCTCCGTTCTCTCTCTTCTCTCTCTCTTTCTATATATATATACAATATACCATATATTATATATATACTAACGTATATATACTATTATACTAATATATATCAGTAGTATATAATTATATATATGGTGGTGTTTGGCCTGGTTATATATGCTTCCTACCCGAGTGAGATGCCTGTGAGGTGTTTCTAGGACCCGGGGCATGACAGAGGGCCCACATTGACAAGGTCCAAAGGCGGTGCCAAGTATTTCATCATGTTCATTGATGACTTTCCACAGATGGTATGGATTTATTTTTCCAGCTTATAAATCTAAGGCATTTTAGAAGTTTAAGGAGTGAAAACTGGAGGTCAAGAAGTAGATGGGGTGATAGATCAAATATTTGAGGACAGAGGATGAATACAACTCAAAGTGTTCAAGTAGTTTTGTATTGATAAAGGCATACAACATCAGTTGACAATATGAAGGTAACCAAAGCAGAGTGGGGGTAGTGGAGTTCATGAATCAGACACTAATGGAGAGAACCATAAGCATGAGATTACTATCAGGCCTGACGGGGGGATTTTAGGCAAAAGCAGTGAATCATACATGTTATTTGGTCAATCATTCACCATCGATCACCATTAATCTTCAGATCTTAGAGTCTTTATGTGTGTCAGGGTGCCCTGCCTATGTTCGGGTGGATAAGAACAAAAGGAGCAAATTGGTGCAAAGTCAAGAAGATGTTACTTCGTCGGGTTTTAGAAGGGTGTCAAGGGATTCAAGTTATGGGATCTGAAAAGCAAGACCACTTTCATCAGTAAGAGATATCACTTTTGATGAGGAGTTTATGTTAGGTGATTGTTGGCTGGAACTACAAAAGGAGAGCGATGAAGAGATAAAAGAACATTCGGTGTAGTTTGAGATTACAGGCTCACAACGCGTTAAGGATACATACACAGAAGATGCAACTAAGGAGAGGGATGAAGGTGTGGACGAGTAGATAGTTATAGATGGTGACAAAGAGACTCAGTCCCTATAGGAGAATTCTATACCATGGGGACGATATAGGAGGACACGTAAGGCCACGATTGGCTACGACTTCAAAGATGATTAGGTTACCTTTGCTCTGGTTATAGAGATCAGAAGTCGAGCACTTATAAGAAAGCATGCAATAGCAGTGGAACCACTTTTAAACAATCAGACATAGGATCACAATACTGAAGTAGAGGTGTGGTATAGGATGCAAATGGGAATTCAGAAAGAAGGATAATAAATAGTACAAGACACGTCTCATGAGTAAGGGGTACGCTCAGAAGGAGGGGACTAAAAAATAACGAGATATTTTCTCTGGTGATCAAGCATATATCAATTCAGGTATTATTGGCAACAGTAGTGGAGCATGACTTGGAGTTGAAGAAGCCACATGTGAAAAAAATATATATTCCGACATAGAGAGCTAAGGAATGAAGCACCTGGAAAGATTTGTAGAGGAAGGGAAAAAGGGCCACATGTGCATTCTCAAAAGTCACTTTACATGCTAAAACAATATCCAAGACAGTGGTACGAGTGGTTCAACTCTTTTATATGCTAGCAAAAAGATAAAATTAGTGTGAGTATGACTGCTGTGTTTACTTTAGGTAATACGGTGAGGGAGCTGTTAAATGTTTGTTGTTGTATGTAGATGACATGCTAATTGTGGCGAGGTGTAAGTTGGAGATTCAGAGTTTGAAGGCCCGATTGAGCAAAGAGTTCAACATGAAGGACTTGGGTGAAGCCAAGAAGATCATTGGGATGGAAATGTCTATAGGTAGGAAAGTGGGAGATATTTCTATCATAATGAAAGTATGTTAAAAAGGTGATTGAAAGGTTAAACATAGGGATGATAAAACCGGTGAGCATACTTATTTGATTAGGATTGTAAGTTTTGACTTTGACTGGAAAGACAAATCGCAGTTGGAATTGAATTTTAATTGGAAGAGGACTAGGATTTAAGTAATTCTAGAAAGCATCATAAGAAAAAAAATTCTATGGAGAGTAGAAATTTTACAAGCTGGCATCATGAGAAAGAATCTTATAAGGATTAGAGTTGGTTTAGAAAGGAATAATACATGAACTCAAAATAGGAGAAAGATGAATGCCCTTGAGAGGATCATTGTAGATGCATCAAGCCAAAGAGAGAGAGAAAAAAGAGAAGAAAGAGTACTCTTGTGAGGATTTGCAAGAGAAAAATGAGAACCATAATAATCTTTAAAGTTAATAAAGATTGATCCCACTCCCCTCCCTTTGCCCATGGATGTAGGCGAATTGTCGAACCACGTAAATTTTATTTTATCGCTACGCGATTGCATGCTAATTTTCTTTCGGATTATTTTGTTTTGTATTTGCTAACATTTTTGACAATAAACCGTAAAAGTAAGGCGTTAATTTCTTATCAATTTCGAAGAGAAAGCTATAGACGGTAGAGTAACATGTGTGGAGTTTGTTTTCTTTTGATGTCGTCTCGTCTCTCCTTTTCCTTTTACACCGTACGTACGTACGCCATTTCTGTCTTCACTTCAGCTCTAATTTCTTCACGTTGTTTGGCTAGAGCTTCTTAAAGTATTTGAGTAAATTGATCAAAGGTGATCGTGAGTACTTCTCTGGTTCGTCCCGTGTTAGACATTGTATCATCAGAAGCAATGGCTGAACAAGTGTCTGAGAATTCATCCTCCGAGGACATTCCTTCTTGTATTCTTTTGTAGTCTCTGCGTCTGATGGCTCCTAATTGGAGTCGAGACATCCTTTGAGCAATTCTTGGATTGACTTTTCCTCTCAGAGAAAAGTCAGGATTTGAGTCACCTGAATGCTGCTTAGACTTTCCTTTATCAGCCATTTTGATGGTGATCTCAG